TCTAAAAAAAATATACCAAAATGTGCCCAAAGGAAACAACTAAGGCATACCTAACTCAGGATAACAAACCAAAAAAACTGACCTCACACAATGAACACACAGGGGAATTTATACACAAAGGCTAGCCTACCCAAACGAGGAGGGGTGGGAGATGAGACAAAGACAAACAATGCATAAACATAAATAATAACTCAAAAGCAGTTAATTCAAACAAACAAAAGGTGTTTACTAAATGTGTGCACCCATAATAGTAAACAACCTAATGCCCAAAAAAAAAAAAACATCACAAAAAAGTGAAATTATAAATGTATCGTGTGAAGACCTTCAAATAAATAAATACTAACACGGAGGAAAAGATGGAGGAACTTCCACGATGACACAAAATTGAAATTAAACCAATGACCCAGAAAACACAGAATGATGTTTCATATTTTTTTATTTACCTCCAGGTGTTTGAGTTGCCGTGGGGACGGCTACAAGACATGCTCCGTTTGTCACGGGGCCCAGAACCTGCTGCACTTCATCCAGCTCACAGTCACATGGTGCGTTAGTAAAACCCGCATCTGAATCGGTTCTGAACAGCCTGTTCTTCACAGTTTTTTTGTCTATTCATGACCGGTTTTTAGGAAAAACAACGTCAGTAACTTCATTCCAGACCGTCAGCCGGACTTTCCAGACAAGAAGTTTGAGAAGGTGTCTGGAGACCCGTTCTTTATTGATGAGAATGTACTGGTAAAGCAACCTCTTCTTTTGTGTATGATTAAGTTCCAAATGCTTAATTCCCTGTCTTAGCAGCCAGAATCTACTCTTTGGATTTTATGCATTGAAACTAAGTTTCTTACTAATGCTTCACCATAAAGAAGATGGAAATAAGAGGTTTGATACCTTCGTTCTAATTGAGAATGGTTAAATACATCTTCCACTAAAGAAAGGGGGCCATTGGGGTCCAGGGGATGAGTTTAAAGAAGATTAAACTATTAAACATTGCATCTTCTTCTTTCTGTTCTGCTAGGTTTATCCAATCGTAGGTTTCCCTGATCAGGAGATCTGTGACGTCTCAACAAAACTGATAAACGAGCATCTTTGTCGCTTCACTTCCACCAGTCGCATCCTCCAACAGGTAATGAACTGTTTAAAAACAT